AGCAAGGAGCCCGATGTGGGGCTCGATCCCAGGACCCTGGGATCATGACCTGAGCCGAAGGCAGACGCTTAACAACTGAGCCACCCAGGCGCCCCCCACATGATCTTTTTAATCATGCTTTAACGTCCAATTTTTGGTCATCAGAAGGCTTTGCCCCTGCCCACCATGTTTTTATTTCTCATTTTGTGAATTACATATTCCTGTCTGTAGCCTATTTTTTTTACTGGGTGTTGTTCCTTTTTCTTATTAATTGCTAAGAGCTATTTGAGACAAGGGGATTTTGATAATCAATATAAGATAGCCATCTCTTTTTCCAGAAGTGCGCTCTATCATTTTTGCCATGTTTGGACATTTAGCAGAACTATCAGAACTCTAATAAAAAGAGTGCATTTAAGACATGAGACCATTAATCCTTTCACACTCAATAATTTTGCTCCTCTACTAAGCAGCAGATTCCTTCATGAAATCTCTAAAAAACTTATAAAGCATTTTATTAGCTGGACAGTAGGGGCGCCCAGCTGGCTCAGTCGGTGGAGACTGAGACTCTTGCTGTCTGCGTTGTGAGTTCGAGCCCCACGTTGGGCGTAAATATTACTTTAAAAAAACAAATCAAAAATAAAGAGGGGACAGTACCTGCTACATACCAACAAGACAGAAGAAATGATTTCTTTCATCACAGCAAAATCATCTACCATTCAACTGTCTGGGGTACCAAGAAGCAGCTTCTCTTACCTCCACGTGCCCACTGCTGGCACACAGAAAGCAAACCACTCTGGGTGTTATAGGAACAGAGGTCAAGATTCCTAAGCCTCCCATCTCCCACACATTTTCTGCTTCACAATCCTCCTGTAGAGAGAGAGACGGATCGTTTATGAAAGCGTTCCAGTGACACACAGCTTTGGATTGAGAGCAAGGCCAGCAAGCATAAAATCAGAGTGACATCAGAGTGTAAGAAGACTTCGTTTCAGTGGGTTCAAGAACAACCTGCTACTTTAAAAAATTTTCATCTCAGACACAAACTGTTAAAATGCTCACCTACTGGTTTAATTCATGTTAACGAGAATGCAAAGATATCCCGGGAGTGACTTTTCCTTAGAGTTTTGCTGATTCAAGCAATCATCATGGTTGGAGAATTCCCACGTGAAAGAATTATTTCCTCAGACGCTGTTCTCATCCGAATGCACTTTCTTGCTCAGGCCGATGCCTGCGTTCGTTCATCAGCTCGTAAATGGTGACCTCACGACACTGACCAGAGTTCTCTCACACCTGAACCCACCTGCCAATGGTAGTTCTTATTCCCTGACTGGGTGCTGAATTCCCCCTCTTTCATCAACACCTTGGATAACATCATTTTTCTGATCTGAAGTCCATGACGCTCGACATACTACATGGTCACAAAACGCTTTTACCTTAAAGTCCACTCTGATCCTGTGGACTCCATCTGCTGGGATTTTTTGCTTCGAACTATTGCCATTGGAGAGAGTGCTGAGGATGTTCAAAGTGCCTGTGTTCTCCTGCTTACTGACTGGAGGTGGCTTTTCCTACAGAGACAGAAGATGGATAAAGAAAAAAACCACATCCCACTTGCCTTCACTTTTGCAACAGGTAACGATGCAAACAAAAAATCTTATTAACAGCTCTGGAGAACACATTTCCAACACAAGTATTCCACAGACACAGAGAGTTGATCTTCAGATTCTTTTTTCCATGGGGGCTTTTATGTATGTATCACAGCCCCAGGAGAATCCCAGGAGAGTCCCAAGACTCTCCCTCCTGTGGGTTTTTGTCTTGCTTCTTCGTGGTCCACGAGGTCAGCTGCGGTTGTTGGCACAACGAAACCAAAGGGACAGCATGGGAGCAGGTTATTCTGCCATTTTTCTAGATCTTTAAGTTGCACATCCAATCTGGGGCTGACCATTCTACTCTTGTTTAACTGGTCTAGGATGGTCACAACAGTATTCGCAGCTCTGGGACCATTAATGATTTCAACTCACCAGTGTAACCATGCTTTATCACCACAGTCAGAAGCCAGACAATGACCTTGGAGCAAGGCTTAATAAGACCCTGGCATCTGCCTCTCTTTGGCATTGTTGATGCATCAGCCAGGACGCTCATGCACCACCATTATGGTGGCACAGAGAGACGGCAGAAAGAGCCAGAAGATTCTTTCTTTTAACAATTTATTTATTTGAGAGAGAGAGAGAGCACGCGAGTGTGACACGCGTGTGCAGGGAGAGGGGCAGAGGGAGACATGGAGGGAGACTCTGTGCTGCCCAATGCGGGGCTTGATCCCACGACCCTGAGATCACAACCGGAGCAGAAATCAAGAGTCGGATGCTCAACCAACTGAGACATCCAGGCGCCCCGAGCCAGAAGATTCTTAAAGACCCCTCTCTTTCCACATAAAAACATAGTGGACACAGGGAAGGGTGATGGCTATAGACAAATACCGCTAAAGGACATCAAGGGCAAAAACAATCACAGTAAGCGGCCTGCGGCATCAGCCTAAGCACGGAAGGCCACAAAGAAGGGGAAAGACAAAAAACAAGACGAGCTAAAGCCTAAACCTGCTTTGTTCATTTTAAGGAAGTCCACGGCCATCTGGAGAGAAGCAGATACGCAGTTTCCTTCACTCAATCACGTAAATGTCAAGGATAAGACTATGTCTTATGAATGCAACACATCCCTGAGCAATGGCAGAGAAACAAATCTCTCCTCACCTTTTCTTTTGGTTTTTGTTTTACAGGAATACTTGGGCGAGGAGCCACTTTTTTCTGCTTGCTTTGCTCTGGACCTAAAGAATTCAAAATAAATTGCAATCAGACACCACTAAACTCAGAGTTCGTGCTAAACAGCAAGGACCACCTCAGGACTAACTGGCCTGTGAAGAAAGGGGCATTAGAAAACACAAAAACCAACTTAAACTCTAGGCTTTACACAGGAAATTAAGACAATACCTCCAACTTAACTGGTTTTTTGCTTCTATTTATTATTATATAAATAGCTTAAAAGAAAGCTAATTTTCCTTAACTAAAAGCTTAAAAATATACATTTCGGGTTTCCAAATGCTGTTTAAGACATCGGTGTTCTTTGCTGGTACTTCTGGTTCCGCAACTCCTTCTTGCCTTCCTCACTCACCTGATTCTGGTGGTGGAGGCTTTTTCTTGGGCTCACTAGGAGTGGTCTTGGGAACTTCTTTTCTCGGTGGTGCTGTGCTCGGTGGCTGTGGAGGGGTGACTGGCACTGGCTGGGAGGCCTGCTTGCTGGACTTCCTGGAAGCTGGAGTGGTAACTTGTTTGGATTCAGGAACTGGGGCAGAGGCGTTCCCTTCTTCGCTCTTTTCCTCGATGGGCTTTCGAGGCGGAGGTTCACTATTGCTTTTCTTGGGGGCAGGGTCCTCTCTTGCTGATGGGACAGGTTTCTGACCAGAGTCCACCACGCTCTTCCCAACATTGCTCTCCTTGCTCTCTTTCTTTTCGCTGGTTTTAGACTTTTTCTCTTTCTTTTTCACAGCTAGGGGGAAAAAGACCAAGATGATTTATCTATAAGTGAGAAAAACTTTCTTTAAGACAGAAGCAGAGGAATGTAACACTATCTTATTCACAGTGCCCTGCGCTGAAGTCGACACTGGAAAGAGCAAGTTGGTCAGGTGAGACAGGTACACTTGTGTTGCTCTCGGAAACAGAATGGACTGGAATTGTTACAGGAATTTAAAAATTTTTTTGATTATGGAAAATTTCAAAGTAAAGGGAATAGTAAAATGAACCCTCATATAACTACCACCCAGCTTCCACAACCACCAACTGGCTGGGAAAAGCAGTTAAACAAACAAACAAATGAACAACCAGCATTCTCCTGACACTAGATGTATGTGACTACGTACATTATTACAGCAGGAAACATCTGGGAAAAATCTTTTTACAACGCTACCTTTTGCTTGCTTCTGAAGGTAGGCTTTGGAAGGCATCCATTGTAGATTCTGACATTTTCTCATCCTAGGATAACAAGGGATACCATACAGTAAACTACATTTAGAAGAAAAGCCATTGAAACAAGTGTTAATTGGTCTGCAAGAATCAATGAACCTTTACTAGGGTTCATTTTGAGAGCTGAAAAAAGTACTCAGATTCAATCTGAGCCTCTGAATGCTTCGATCAGCAATTTTACCTACCTTTAGGGTCTAAAAGGAATAAATATCAAATTATTTTTGAAATGGGACTCAAATTTCTTATAACCCACTACTAACTAGCACCACACACAAAATGATCAGCTGGTGTTTTATAGTCAAATCGGTTCTGCTCCCTTATGAGATTAACATTCATATAGTAATGTGAATAAAAAATGGACTAAAATTAACCAACAAGTCCTTTGTCTGACACTACAATGCTACAGGTCTATCTCAGGGCTTTGATACATAGTTCACCCCTCAATTTAATGAAACTAAAACTTACTTTGAAGTCTAAAACTGAGCTAAATACATTTCAACCCCTAAATTATAGTGCAGGTTTATCCTGCAATCATGTACCTTTCTGCTGATCAGTGATTTGTCTCACTTCCTTCCACTAATGGGACTGAGACAAGATTCTTACTTAAGGCCAGACTAAACGAAAGCACAAAACTACTTACTGTCTCTTGGAAACTATCTCCCCTGAACTAATTTCTCCCAGCCACATTTTCTATAAATCACTTTCATGTTACCATTCATTCAACAAATACCTATTGCTAATATCTACTCTTTGTGCCAGGCACTTTATGAGATGCTCAGTCACTAAAATTTGTTTGTGCAACTTTCTCGATCCATTTAAAACAAATTATGCCAAAGAGCAGAAAGTGAATCCACAAACTGACTTAAAAAAGGGAGAAAAGATCAAGTAATCAGGGACGCCTGGGTGGCTCAGTTGTTAAGCGTCTGCCTTCAGCTCAGGTCATGATCCCGGGGTCCTGGGATCGAGCCCCGCATCGGGCTCCCTGCTCTGTGGGAGGCCTGCTTCTCCCTCTCCCACTCCCCCTGCTTGTGTTCCCTCTCTCGCTGTGTCTCTCTCTGTCAAATAAATAAAATCTTTAAAAAAAAAAAAAAAGATCAAGTAATCAAAACTTTTAGATCAAAAACTCCACGTGCATGAAAATATTCTGGGAGTTAGAAAGCCAAGGGTCTCAGACTAAGATATCACCACTTTTTCCTCAATGCCATAAAGGTAATTTCAGTTGACCTGAAAAATTATAATACAAATAGATATTATAATATATAGTTAAATTAAATATAAATTATAGCTCAATTATATGTGAATATTACATATGCATGTGGCTTATATATATAACTTATATAACATATAAAATATAAATATATAAATTTGTCAGTTTTTACGTGGAAGCCCTCCATAGCTACGCTGATATGGTAGCCACTAGGCACATGTGGCCATTTAAATTTAATTAACTGAAATGCAATGCAATTAAATATGTAGTTCCTCGGTCACACTAACCACCCTGCCAGTGTTCTACAGCCACGTTCGGCTAATGGCTACCACACGAACTGAGGAGACAGAGAATCTTTCCACCACTGCAGGACTTTCTACTACACAGCACTGCCCTGAGTATTTCTTATTTCAGGACAGCCCCAATCCTGGCCACATCACAAAATCCAACTCTGCAACGAACCTTGCACCTCAAGGAGACTCGACACAACCACACTCAGTTTTCTGATGCATCCCTGCGACAGACCAGGCATAAACACAACCTCCACGGCTGAGAGGTCAACACCTCAGAGTAAGACACCCACTCACTTGCAGCACTGCTTCTTTATATTTCGGCCACCAAACTTGGGTTTGTCTAAGCAATTAGTACAAACACCACAGTCCTCAGGCACCTGGCAGCCGGGACACTGCCCACACCGCCTGGATCGTCGCCCTTTCTTTACTGGAGGTTCCTGAGGCGCCTTGTTTCTGGTAACGGGTTTAATTGGTTTGATGGGTGGAGCAAGAGGTTCAGCATCTTCTGAGCCAGCAATTGATGACTTGTCTGTTAAAGAAACGTGTCGTTAGTTCTGAGGGAGTATCTAATTCCTTCTTGGGAGCAGAGGCGGAATTCCTCAAAATCCGATTATATCATTATATACATTCAAGCCTCATTTTAATTGGGACTCCAAACATGAAATACGTAATAAAAATATTCATAGGCAGAAATCAGAGCCTGTTTTAAATAATTCTTTAAATGTTTTAAAACGCCTATAACTTGCAGCTTGATGAAAGCAGAAATCCGAACACTGAGAACAAAACAGTCTAACCTAAAACCAGGAATGCGAATTGAATGCTTCTTAAGATTCTCTAAACCTCTACATTTTATATAAGCAGTCACCTAGCATTTAAGTCACCCAGCATCTAAAGGCAACCGTGAGAATGTGCCCCACAGACCTCCAACAACAGGGAACGAAGCTAACTGACCAACGGCCCCAACTGCTGTGCTCTGAAATCCAGTGGTACACCAAGCCCACACTTACCATGGGGGTTGCTCCTAGGTAGTGACTGAGCATGGCAGGGATACTAAGGCGGGCCTGTTCCTGGGAGACACAAAACTCCCCTGACAGTCAGCTTTTGCTCAAGGACTCCCCGACAGCCTTGCCAAACTCTCTGGGAAGACAGTCTGGGAAGATTCTGCCCAACCCTCCCTCCCTCTCTCTTTCCCTAGGGTCAGACTTGCAGAGCAGCCTGACCATTGTCCAGCCTTCCCCAGCTCCCCCCCGATTTTCTCTCTCAGGCATTTCCTCTAGGGTAATCCTTGCACATTGAATATACGCTTGCCATTTGCTTTTTGGAGGACCCAGACTAACACACAGTGCTATGAAGAGTATCCCCAGAATGACCAGCAAACAAATCAAAAAATGTCTGCTCAGACTTCGAGGTTGACACCCCTGACCTACCATCATTCCCCATGGAAGACAAAATCTTCTCTCGTTCTTCCCATGGTAAGGCACTCAGGGTGGGCATGTCATCAGGAAACACAGCTCGTTTCCGGCCAAGGGCAACAGCAGCTCTTCTGCAGACATGTTTAATGCGGGGTCCTCGCACAGAGGTCTCTGACGAATCACTTTCTTGACCCTGAGTAAGAGGCAGGTCAAAACAAACAACAGCAAGCATACATGTTGAAAATGTCATTAAATGAAAAAAAAAAAAGAAAATGTCATTAAATGAAGCCAAGGTACAGCTGGTACGTCATTACAATCTAGAATCAACACATACAACTCTAGCTATTCCCAGCTGATAAGCCGTGACAATCTACAGAAATCGACTAGTTCTGTATCCTAAAATTGGCAGCCAAAAGGGGGGGGAGGGCAGGGCTTTTAATCAAAAAACAGAAATCAACTAAATTTCTATTCCCCATTATACTACTGCTTTAAAACTCCCTTCAAAACTCAAGCTGCCAGTCTACGTTATCCAAAGTTTGGCCCGGAGTTAACAGGGCTTATCTAATCACAGACTATTTCTTCTATTTCCCTGATCAACAGAGAAGTAGGGGAAACAACTTATAAATGTAAGCATGAAAAGGCCACAGATCTGCACAGAAGCGTCTTGCATTTTATTTTTTATTTCAAATTAAGTCTTTTTATTTTTTTAATTTTTTAATTTTTAAAGATTTTATTTATTTATTTGACAGAGACACAGCGAGAGAGGGAACACAAGCAGGGGGAGTGGGAGAGGGAGAAGCAGGCTTCCCGCAGAGCAGAGAGCCGGATGCGGGGCTCGATCCCAGGACCCTGGGACCACGACCCGAACCGAGGGCAGACACCTAACGACTGAGCCACCCAGGAGCCCCACCTCTTACATTTTAAAGAGCCACTGCTCCTATCACTAGGAGGCTAACCAAAATACATCCAAAATGCTATCAGAAATAAATCCCATCATCCTCCTGCTAGAACTGTCAACTGGTAAAATTACTAAATGTAAATATGGCCCTAGGTTGAATAACATGAAAAACCTAAATGTGTGGTCATCTTAACCTAACTTGGTGTGTTGGCATAAATATGTATCTATTACATGGCAATTTTAAAAAAGAACCTAAAGATCCATGGGTTTTCTCAGAAAAGGCCAGTGCCTAGCTACCTTTGTAAAAAGAAGAAAAAAAAAAAAAAGCTCTTCTTTGTAAAATTTGTCATCATCTTAATGAACTGAATCCTACAGCTTTTCTGCCTGCAACTTAAGGCTAAGGGCTTCTCATCTGTGTTCTGCAAATACCTATCATCTATTGCTCTAATCACTCACTGCTCAGAGGAAGAGAAGCCCCCCCACCCCATTTTCTTTGGTAAATAATAATAGTAAAACAATGTGACTACAAAAATGCACCGTCAACATTAGGTCACATATTCCACTACACCAAACCCATGAAGTACAAACTACCTTTCAGTCTTAAGTCACCACCTTCCTGTGCATCACAGTCCAGCGATCCGCCGTACCTCTCAAATGTGTCTCATACTTTTTCATCTCTACCCACACTGTGCCCTCTGTTTAGAATGTCCTCCCCTATGGCACCTGGGTGGCTCAGTCAGTTAGGCATCCGACTGTTGATTTCAGCTCAGGTCATGATCTCAGGGTGTGAGATCGAGCCCCGAGTTGGGTTCTGCACTGGGCGTGGAGCCTGCTTGAGATTCTCTCTCTCTCCCTTTGCCGCTCCCCCCACCACCTGCTTGCCCTGGCGTGAGGGCACGCGCGCTCTCTCTTAAAAAAAGAGAAGAGGAAGAATGTTCTCCCCTGTCATTTCCTACCTATCAAAATCCTACCAGTCCTTGAAGGGACGCTGCAAATGCCACCACTTCTGCCCTTCTCCTGATTCCCAGAACCGTCACTGAAACACTTCACCGAAAACTCACTCACAGAAGAGGCTCAATAAACTATTGAGTTTAACAGGCAAGATGGAAAAGAGTACCTGTGCTTTGGGCTGGTCGGTTTGTTTAAGACTCTTACTCTTCTCAATCTTGCAGAGCTGGGCTTTGGCCTTTTTTAGGAGGCTGGCAACCCTCTTGTCCGTCATAGGAAGCTTGTCTGCCTGAGCCAACATGGAGCCTATGGAGGAAGTGGAATGTTTAACAGTGCTAGATGAAGGAGTGGAAAGGCAGAGGGTTTTCTCCTTCTCCAGGGATGGGGCAGTTGGGCCGAGGTCCAAGTTGTTTTTTTCCAGATTTCCTCTCCCTTTCTTTATAAGTATTTTGGTTTTGACAGCTGTTGTATCCCCAAGAGTCACAGAAGCAATATCAGTCCCAGAATCAAGTGATGAAGACTTCTTCCGCCCTGTTGCTTTTTTGGCAGAAGAAGAAGTGGCAACATCTTCACCGACAACCTTGTCTTTGGAAACCCTACCCACAGGATACAAAGCAGAACTACTCTGAATTTCTGATCCCTTTTTCCTTTTCTCTTTCCTTGACTCCCGCTTATTCTCTTTTTCTCTCTCTCGGTCTCTCTCTCTACTCTTGTCCTTCTCCACGCTCTTGTCAGCATCTCGATCTTTGGACAGCTCCTCAGGGGCCTTGTCTTTATTTCTCCCTCTTTCAGTCTGAGAGCCTGGGGTAAACCAAGGGAAGAGAGGAGTGGGGCTGCCGGATGAAAACGGCTCTGCTGGAGCGCTAGCCTGCTTCCTCGGTCTCTGGCTTTTCTCTGCAGATTCCCCAGACTGAGTCAGGGAATGAGAAGGAAAAGTAAAAGTCGGGTTTAAGGCACTAGTGGCAAGAGGACTAACAGATATGCTTAACGAGGAAGAGACAGAAGACGGCGGGGTGAGAGGTGACAGCTCAGCAGTACTAAGCCTTCCACTTCTTGTCCTCATGGAGTGAGAAGGAGATCTTGGTTCAGATCGAATAGGGCTAAAGACTTTTCTTTTCCTTTTTCTGTTGGATACTCCTGAAGAAGATGTTCCAGCAGAAGTTCGATTACTAGGCAAGGTGACAGACTCAAATATTCTAGAGTGAGCCTCACTTGGAGTAAATCTCGGAGCTCTCAGAAGAGGGCTCCTCTTGTGCATATCGAACCTTGTTCCCGAGTGGAGTGGTGAAAACAATCGGGCTGAAGCAGCAGTACCGGATGTAGAAAAACCGGACGCGAAGCCAACATCCTCAGGAGTTAGTGGAGGGGGTCGGAAATTATCAAATATTGGTTTGCGAATAAGACCTTCTTTGGCATACTTTGCTGAGGAAAAGTATTGTGGCTCTGACCTAGAATGCTTTAAAGAAGTCCACCTAAACGTCGGTTCTCGCAAAATAGACTTGCGCTTCCCTTGCATGGGAGCAGCAGAAGCAGGCAAAAATGGTGATGCTAAGGGGATCGTTGGAGGCATAAGCCAAGGTGTGTGGTCAGAGATGCTGGAGGCTGGCTGCAGTGGCGGGGGTGGAGTAAGCAGAGGTGGAGGAGGAGAGGAAGAGGGCTGCTGCTGGGGGGCACTTTGTAGAGTTGATAGCTTTTTAGTTGTTCTAGATCCAAAACTTCTCTCTGACACGGAATACCTTCTGCTTCTCCTATCATTACTATCGTTTTCTGGGGACTGGGAAATAGGCAGTGGAGTATGAACTTCGGGGGTCTCGCTCCGCTCTTCAGGAAGTACCTGAATCTCCTCAGAGGCCTGAGAATCTGTGGAGGTATCAACACTGGGGCTACTAGATCGGGAGGAGTCTGAAGACATTTGAGAGGAGTGCTGAGAAGCTGCACTTGATTTTTCAGAAGATCCACAGGACGTGGCACTGAATCTACTGTTCGGTGTAGACTCTAGTCGGGCAATTTTAATTGGAGGGTCATAATCCTCATCCTCTATAAACCGCCGAGGGGTTTTAATGATCCGTGAGGAGATGGCACTGACAACAGGCATAATGAACTGTCGAATATTTTTAACCTGTGTCTTCACCTTTCTTCCCTGCAGCTGAGCTGCTTCTTTTTCAATTTTCTTTTGAGCCCCCTTTTTTGCCCTCTGCAAGAGCTGCTTAGCAATTGTTGCATCTGTCCTTTTAGAAGAAGGAATAATCCTAACCGGCTTAATCCTTCGAGGGCTTTGTCTGACTACTGTCTTATCTTCTTTTGTGAGTGGAGGTGTTCCTTCCTTGTCCTTCCGGACCTTCTGGGGCTTTTCCAGTTCAGAGTTAATGAGGAGGCCTGAAGGGGTCTTTATTCTTTCTGTCGATGGAGGCCTTCCTCGCCGTCGGACAATCTGTACCCCCTTCCTTCCTATTTGAAGCTTCCCTGTCTTAAACTTAGACTTGAGAGGAGAGAGTTTACCTGCTCTTAATTTTTTAATCTTTGTGGCTTGTTGAAATGTAGCAGAAGGTGTCCGTTTAATCTTTTTCAAGCTATCTTCTTTGCTTCCCTTTGGTAGCTCTGAAATGTCCTTTCCGTGTGTTATTTTGATTTTTACTCCAGGGAAGGTGGGGGGTCTTCCTCTCTTCTTTTCTATGCTTTTAGAATCTTTCTTCTTGATCTTATCTCCAGATTTGGTCTCTGATTTATTTAGAGGGGAAAACACAGACGGATCTGAGAGGATAGCTGAATTTCGGTCAGAGCCACTTCTAGGTCTCCCGCGAGGCTTTCGAGGGCTAGTTTTAACTGTATATAAAAATTAAACAATGAAGAGCATACATTTAGCTTTGTAGTTCAGGTCGTGACTAAGCTGAATATACTTTAGCACAAGCCATTTTGTACTGACCTCTACCTGGTCTAGTGAGTCACTTAAACATCTTAATTGGGCTTAGTTTCTTTTCACCAAAAACTTGCCTCAAAGAAACCAAGTAAATAACATTCCACCTACAACACCTAACTTTTGGGACAGAACAACTAAGATAATGATAACAGATTTTCAACCAAGCAATTAATATGCAAAACTGATTTTCCTACCATTTCAGGTGAGCGAGGGTTTTTTTTTTTGAATTAAAAAAAAAAATAGGTTTACAAAAAAATCTGTGCCACCTTTTCCATAGCCTAGCCACGAAGATTAATATTTGGGAACATGTTCATAGTAAGTCATCCCATCTTTTCGGTGGAATTTTGGCTTTCACAAATTTGAACAAGGAGCTCTTCAATCGATAACATACCAACTTTTGTCAGGAAAGCACCTGGGCAGCTCAGCTTCCTATAGTTTCAGTCTGTTTTGTCAAAGTAAACTAAGAAAGCTTTATTGAGTAGAAAAATGTTCATCCGTGAGACATCAGAATAAGATCACTGAACTCAGTGGCATGTGAACTCCTCAGTGAAGTGACACGATGATGTGTCCATTAATCTACTCCCCTACTTACAGGTTCTTGAACTAGTTAGTCCCAGGTTACAAAAAAAATTTAACCCTAATTGACATCAAGAGCAAATCAACAATTTATTAAATCAGACTTCTTCTAGTCTAAATAAAAGGAATTTGCCCAATTTATAAATCAGCTCAATTTGCTACTTTTTCAAGAGACTTGAGAAAACAAGGCTGTTTTCTAAAATTCTTTGTATAAACCTGGATTTTCTAAATGGATTAAGAGTTTCCTGGTCTATCACATCTTCTCCTCCCTCATGACTTTCCAATGTCTGATATGACTCAACATTCTTCTGAGACTAAAACCTCCCCTAACAGGCATCAAAAGACATTTATGCCAGTATGATGAACATTTTAGACTATGGAACCAACTTCCTAACAGAACAGAAACCAACAAAGGTCTTACTCTTGAGCTTTCTAAATATAAATGTTTTTCTCACCAATTAACTTGAAACTGCCTTTAATACATTAAGGATTCATAAATCCATTCTCAATATATACTAATTACAACAAAAGTAATGGACTAGGAGACAGTAGGAAAACTAGGTTTCATTTCTTAAATAATGAAGCATACCCAGATGGTTTAAAAAACAAAAACAAGACAACATTCAAGGTAGACTGATAACCATTCAAGGAAAGGTTGTGAATTACTCCTACCCAGAAGTATATCACAAGATTCCTTATCATCATGCTAGACTTGAACCTGGCCACTCATAGGGCTTTATTAATCTGGAAAACCTCTTCTATCCAATTTTTAAAAGAATTTTTTGGTGGACAAGGAGAAACACCAAAACAGAGAAGAGTCCAGCTCTGTTAATCACAACATACTCAGAGAACTCAAAAGTGAGTAACCGCATCATATATTTTCCCGGCCTCATTCTGTCATCTAGAAATGAAAGGTCAGACCGGATGATCTCTAGAACCGTGTTCCTATAGGAAGTTTTAGGATTCCACCGCATCTTCAAGAGAACATGGCTACTACGTATGTGGCACAGACACTGGGTACTACAGGCTAAGTCCTCCCAACTAGGATGGCAACACTCCTGCCATTTGGGAAAAAAGATACTGTCAACTTATGTGTTTGAATTAGATTACTAGACAAACATGATGACTTTTAAATGAAACCCAAATGCTAACAAACACCAAGAACTAAGTTGCTGTCAAAGAGCAAAACCACTAACGACATCATATTTAACTAGACTGTCCATCCAAATCAAAGCAAAGCAAACCACAGAAGTCAGAATGGCAGCAGAGATGGGAAATGGTTTCTTCCTCAGAAGATCCCTCTCCTATACAGACTAGAATTCTGCAAGCCATTGCATGTTATTTCCACTGAGGACTGTCTCTCAGGAGACTTCTTGAAGTCTAGAATTTCACGACATTCTAGATATTTTCTTGGCGAGAACAATGACAAATATTGCTTAAAAATGGAAATACCCCCATATCATTTTTATTTTCTTTATTTTAATATAGCCTTTCAAGGATCAGAAAAAATAAATATTTTGTTTGTTTTGTTTTTATTTTATTTATTTTATTGACAATAGTAGACCACATTTCATCTGTAAAAAACAACAGTCAGATTATTCCCAAAGTTGTATATACTACCGTATCATTCAAAATCTATGAATCTGAGGATGCTCTGAGTAGGTTACCTTCAATTCAACTACCAGGTCTTTTAGTCATTCCATGGAAATTGACCACACACACACCCCCCAGGCCCCCCCCACCTAGTTCCCAAAGAGAAGCATTATAAAGAATAAAGCATAAGTGGCCTGACAGAGAAGAGCCCCGTAAAGAGGTCTAGCTCATAAGCCATCTCTTACTTAGTGTGAGAGAAAGGGAAGGATGCAAGCCCCCCCCCCGCCCCCCAGTATTTAAGATCATCCTTTACATGCAAAGAAAGCAAGTGGAAGCCATGGTCTCTTAACAAACAAAAGGTACCATGCACTTAACTGGCCATACCTGAAGGAGACCTTGTGGGACTTCGTACTCGGACTTCTTCATCTGAGCCAAAACCTAAGAACTGCTCATCCTACAACAAAGGAAAATTATTTTAAAATCAGAAACAAAAACACAAGTGTGAACATATCCCAAAGAAATGCCCAGAGGAGACACAAATGAATTTGGAAAATCAGACTCTATATATTAATCATTATCATTTATATGGATAATATAAAAAATAATATTGAAATAAATGGACCCAGTCATACAGCTTCATTACAGACAGATAGGAGCTGTGTAGTAATTGAACAATGCATTGAAATGTCATCTTTGGTGCATAGTACACAGGGGATAGTCCTTAATTTCAAACTATAGATACAGCCCAAAACAATTAAAGAACGGCTTTAATTCAAGTAAGTAAATCAGTACAATGGCAGAAATATACAGCCCCAATAAAACAAACAAATCTTTTCAACAAGTAGATAAGTTTACACACACATAAGGAATAACATAAACCATATCATAATCTCTTGTCTACTAAATATTAATAGAGACTGAAATTGCCATAATTGTCAGTTCCTTAACTCAGGAATTGACATTTAGATGTGATTTCTATACATTTGAGATCCAAAGATTCTCAACATGCATTTTATGGCATCAATTTAAAATGCCCTGTGATAAGAGACTTAATGGTGGGCAGCAGCATCTGTGAAAGGGATCATGAATTGACCGCATACAGGATGAAATAATGCATTCAAGAACTTACGGAAGCATCTTACTCTCTGTTATACTTGGAAAAGGCAAAAGGCAAAAACTTCCCCTTACCTCTAACTTTTAACCTGCCCTTTGAAAAAAATCCTTAAGGATTTAACTTATTTTGACAAGTTCTCAAGAAAGGTGGTCTATTTAAACAAACTGACTAACAGAAATTCACTGATTCAGAAACAGTTCTTTCCAGAAAGAGACAAGAGAGACAGAATTTCAAATCCCTGAAACAAAATCCACATACAACAAGAATAAAATAAGGATTGAGAGACAAATTTTCTTGAATCTCCAATTTATACTGATAAGCCTAGCCCCAAAATATGTTCCAACAATTAAAGCCCCAATTTTCCTCTCAAGAGCAAAGACCACATGCATATGGACAACATCTGTGGATTTTCTGAAAAGTTGTTTCCCCAGTTAGTGTAAAGCTAGAGTCAGGTGCTAATCTGTTCAACCACTTATTAATCAGGAATATATGAAAAGATACATGCAACCTTTTAGACAAATTAGCAGGTTCAGCTCTTAAATTTAAATGCTTTAAGAAGCAAAATGTTTGAGTCCAAGATCTTGCAAACTACGCAACTGAGAGACAGTTCTTAGAATCTAAGGTTTTTGTTCTGAAGTTGCTAACATTATTAAAGCATTTAACTATTTAAGAAAAACCTGAAATTATCCTCTTCAAAGGGATTTGTCTGAAAAGCACTATAATTCTAAGAATGTGTAAAACCTAAGTTTAAAGAATACAAGAGTAGGATGCTTTTTACAGTCCTTTCTCTCATCATTAAATTAAATTTAAATTCTTATTATGAATATTATTTGTGAATAAGAATAAATCTACCTCTTCATCTCAAAACAAGTTAGGACAACCTCATACATGTGGGGCTTAACCCCAAATAAATTTCTGGAATGACTTTCAGGGTTTACACTTGCAAACTACAACATTACAAAAAGAGAAGCCCAAACTCACAAGACCCAATTAATCCAAAAACCTGTCACAATAATGGAAATTCCATACTGTTAATTTTTTTTTTTTTTAAGTAAGCTCTATGCCGAACATGGGACTTGAACTCATGAGCCCCAGATCAAGAGTCGCGTGCTCTACCGGCTAAGCCAGCCAGGTGCCCCCATATTGTTAATTTTTTTAAAATACACTTTTGGGCAGGAAAAAACGACATTTAAAATAGTAATCCTACAATGTACTTTGAGAAAAAAAGCAGGCAAAGAAAATAGCCCCGTGGTAAGCTGCCTCAAATGCTGAAGAAAAAAAAAAATCAAAAACAATAAAAAAATGACAGTACCTTAGAATTTTAGAGGGGCCCAGTCCACCACTGGCATGTCCGCACATGACATGACTAAGGAGCGCGCTCGTGGGCCTCGACTGAGGACTCAGTTCTAGCACTTCCAGGCTATCTGATCTTAGACAAGTAACTTACTATTTTTTTTTTAAAGATTTTATTTATTTATTTGACAGAGAGAGACACAGCAAGAGAGGGAACACAAGCAGGGGGAGTGGGAGAGGGAGAAGCAGGCTTCCCGCAGAGCAGGGAGCCCAATGCGGGGCTCGATCCCAGGACCCCGGGATCATGACCTGAGCCGAAGGCAGACGCTTAACAACTGAGCCACCCAGGCACCCCGTAACTTACTATTTTTATGTCTCAATGTCTTCGTTTACTGAAGTGTTGTAAGGAGTAAATGAAATAATTTATGTAAATTATGTAATTACATTATGTAAAATCACTCAGAAAATTATAAGGCAACATCCATACTGTAGTTCTTATTATTGATGTGGTTTTAGAAACTGACTGGAGGGGCCAAATGACTTGCCTAAGATCATACAGTTAGTTACAAAGATTTCCTACCAAAATAGTTACAATTTAAAATTATAAATATTTAAAGGAATCAAATAAATAATCTCCAGTACAAAATTTGCTATTCCTAACATGTAAGTTAACATGACGCCCATTTTCAGATCCTTAAAGTTTGATTTAACTCATTCTTTTCCTGCATTATCCTCATGGAACGACATGCTAATCTAGACACTTCACGGAAGACTCCTGGAGGTTTCCGAACACTACCCAGGGACTAACTACACTGCTACATGCATGAATGTTATGCTCCCAGTGCTGCAGGGAGAGAGTTCTAGCAACTATACACATAATAACTAACCGGTGAAGTATCCAACAGGTGAGGTAATGAAAGATTATTAATCCTTAAAAGAAATGGAAGCGATCCACCCTGCTATGTTCACCATCAGCCACCTGGTGAGGCACCATACAATCCTAATTGCCACACGCTCCAGAACAGAGTACTCCTGAGCTGTCAAGCGCTAACTGAACTAACTGCCAATGTTTAAATTTCACAAGTACTTTCCAACATGACAGAAAGTGTTAACTCTTTCCTTATGATCTCGCAGTTGGAATAAGAAAAGAATGAGTAGTCAAAAAAGACTCCACCTCCCCCAAGAACTTTCTTTTCACTTGAAATACAGGTTGACTTCTTCAAGCTTGCTTAAAAGTAACTACCCATTGCTTTAATAATCCAGTTAAGCCAAAAACAAAAGCCTGCATTGTTATGTTAAAGAGCTCTAACCTTCTGACTCCGAATTTCCAAGTAAGAGCCGTAAAAAAAAAAAAAAGAATGAACGAACGAAAGAAAGAAACAGAAGGGAAGCCAAATCGAGAAAGTGCTGGGAACGAGCTGCTACAAGAGGGTGCTTGCTCCGTGGAAGTCTTTCCTGCCTCCCTCTCATCTCGCTGCCATCACCCCCTTTCACAGGTGGGGTTCCTGGAAGATGTCGTCAACAAGGTAACAGTGCTGGCCTCCCAAGGATTTAGACTTGCCTAAAAATCAAAAGGCTAAGACAAAATGTCTACCAAAAAAGCCAACAAAGGGAGCTGCAATTAAATTCACGTTTGGCACTGTAGCATAAGCCTGGACAGCCCTGAAGAGAGAAAGGACAGGAGACACCATGCTACACATGATCAAGTATTCCTGGGAACTGGGCCCAAACAGCCATACATCACACATACTTTTCCTTTCAATATGGCTTTCCCTGATGAGCACAGCATTCTAAAGACAGAGTACAGGGAAGAGCCATCAAACCGATGCCTTCTGAACAGTGATGTCCTTGGGAGTCCAGACTGCCAAGATTTTAACACTTTCTTTCCTCCAAACAGAAAAATATCCTTGCCAAGTGGAGCACGGTAAAATACTATTCTGTCATATTTAGCTTCCAGTGATCAAGAATGCAATGAACCTATCTAATGTCACTTCCTAAATGAAATCTAACTGTATAAATAATAAATGTGTAAAATGTCTGTCTTTATGACCCATACCCCTAACTCTAGGGTAACCAGTTATTTGAGAACTTCTGGCATACCTTTAGCAGGTACACCTCTACTAAATTCTACTTTATAAGTACCTTAACATTTGAGGATTTTTATTTTAATGGAAGAATTTTAATTCTTTAGAGTCTGGTTCTATTTGTAAATGATGGGGCAACAGGAATATTTTTTTTTCCACAAGAGAACCTAAGTGAACCCAAAGTAAGTATTCAGATAATAATGTTTACATATGAAATATAAAGAAGACATTTGAGAAAAATACATGAAATTCTGTGTTTCAAGGAATTATGTACTACCAAGCCAACTTTTCAAACAAAGCACTATTTCTTTTACTTCTTCATTCATTCAAAAACCATTTATATGCTTGCCATTTACATGCTATCTGCTCCAGATGCAAAGATAAGTAAGACATGATTCCTGCTCCCAAGAAGTATCTAAAGGCAGACAGGCAGGTGCATGATTTCATTCTTCCTTTCAAAAACCAATGCCAGTGAAGGATAAAATACTATGTAACTCGTATTCTGGAATAAAAAATTGGCTTACCTCTTGGAACAGTTCATTCTTCCTTTTATATTAGTATTCGGTTCATAGAGAAACATTTAACAAATTTCAGAATCCTTCCAAAGGACGGCAATGTGCATTTCCATCCCTCAGTACTGCAACTAGGCACCACTCCAGCATCAACAATCAGAGTTTAGGTAATCGAGACCTAAGCCATCTGCACTGATTAGATGTGACACAGTTCCTAGTAACACCAGTGATCTGATAAACTTTCAGCTGATCCACCTCAACACCTTTTCTTCCCTACCCCTAACTAAAATACATAGATTTTTAGTTCCTCCCTTAAATTCTTCCCAGTTTACCATAGTCAGAGCAAAAATCACTCACCTGGAGTTCTTCACCTCCCAGGCTAAGGTGGAGGTACCAAAGCTAATTTGAAAACTTTTCTATTAAATAAACAAGCTCAGCCGCTTCCAGCCTC